CACACACACACACACACACACACACACACACACACACACACACACACACACACACACACACACACACACAGAGTTCTTTTTGCCGGAAGAGCTGGATTTCCTGGGAGACCCTTTTCGTCAACCCATTTCATTTCTTTCCAGGGGCCGACCTTTCCGATTATTTCAATTATGGGTTCAACGAGGAAACGTGGAAAGCCTATTGTGAAAAGCAGCGCCGGCTTCAGCTTGGCCTGGAGCCTTCGGTCCCCATCTGCACCGAGAACAAGATCACGGTAAAAGGCAGAGCTGGGAGACTGGTTTCTTTCAGACGCCTTGCTTCCCAAGGAAGTCAGCCACCTGCACAGGCTTGGAATGGTTGGGGGACGCAAAGGCTGTAATAATGCACAGGTAATCCTCGACTTACAACAGTTCGTTTAATGACCATTCAAAGTTGCAACGTCACCGAAAAAAGTGACTTATGACCATTTTTCACACTTAACGACCATTTCAGCATCCCCATGGTCAAAATTTGGATGCTTGGCAACTGATGGTTCCAGCGTCCCAAGGTCATGCGACTTTTTTGATGTTTTTATAAGTGAACTCAAAGAGGGAGCCCGATTTACTTAACAACCAGGTTACTAACTTAACAACTGCAGCCATTCATTTAAAAACGGAGGCAAGAAAGGTCGTAAAATAGGACAAAATTCAATTAACAAACGTTTCACCTAGCAATGGAAATGTTGGGCTCAATTATGGTCGTAAGTCAAGGATTACCTGTACAAGAACGTCCAAAAGGCAGTAAGTTGCTTCTACCCTTCTATGCTTCTGTGTACCAAACCACAACCAAACTTAAGATGCCTGGACTCCAAATTCCCAGAATTCCCCAGTCAACGTCTGGGAGTAGAAATCCACCCATCTCAAAGCAAGCTGGCTGGGAAATTCTGGGAGTTTGAAGTCCACACATATTAAAGCTGCTAAGATTAAAAAGCACTAAACTTTTGCCTCCTGTATTAAGATGTAGAGTTAGGGTTATCTTCTGTTCGCACAGTAGAAAAATGGATGGAAAGACTGATGGGTCCCCCAAGAGAGCAAAATTAATTGTTTCAGTCAGAGAAAAGATCATATCCAGCTTTGTGTTCGAGACAGAAAACAGTGAAATCTTAACTCTGGAATATGCCAATTAGATTAGTCATTGTTATAGAAATGGCTGGTATCTACTAAGAGTGTGAAGATACAAAATATTGTATTCTACTGTGCTGAAAAAAGTTGGAAGTTAGTGCTTTTCTTCCCCCCGCCACCTTATCTTATACTTTGCCTTCCCTTTTCCTTTCCCATTTTCCTACCATCCTATTTTCATTTGTATTTTGTACTATGTTAATCTTAATTAAAAACAATAAAACCCTGAATGTACAGTTTTAAAAACTCAGTGGGCCACCTCTTGCGCTTTCCAAAGAAGACTTGGCAAATGGGTAGGTATAAAAATAGGTGAAGGCTTTTCAGTCCGATAGAAATAGCTAGCGTGTGAACACAGAAAGCTCAGGAGTTCCAGATTAAAAATTAAACCCATCTGCATCCCTTCTGCAACAGATCCTAACCCCTCTCCACTTTAAGGTGCTTTATAAAGACAATCCTCGACATACGACCACAACTGAGATCAGATTTTCCATTGTTAAGCAAGGCAGTTGTTAAGTGAGTCACAACCAACTTTATGACCTTTTACCACGGTTGTTAAGCAAATTGTTAAGTGAATCTGGCTTTTCCCCACTGACTTTGCTTGTCAGAAACTGCCTGGGAAAATCCCAGATGGCCACCAGGCGCCCCAGGACGCCACAACCATCATCTATACAGATAGTCCTCGTCCTACAACGGTTCATTTAGTGACTGTTCAAAGTTACAACGGCAATGAAAAAAGTGACTTATGACTGTTTTTCACATTTATGACCATTGCAGCATCTGAATGGTTGCATGATTAAAATTCAAATGCTTGGCAACTGACTCATGTTTATGACGGTTGCCTGTCCCAGAGTCATGCGATCCCCTTTTGTGACCTTCTGGCAAACGAAGTCAACGGGGAAGCCGGATTTATTTAGCAACCTTGTTAACTAACTTAACAACTGCAGTCTTGACAACTGTGCCGAGAAAGTTCCTAAAATGAGGCAAAACGCACTTAGCAACTGTCTCACTTAGAAACAGAGATTGTGGATTCCTTTGTGGTCATAAATCGAGGACTACCTGTATATGCCAATGGCCAAGTGCCCAAATTTCTGACCACTTGATTGTGGGGAAGCTGCAGTGGTGGTTGGGGTGAGTGTGCTGCTTATCCAAGTAGCTTTTTCAGTCCAGCTTCCTCTGAAGGAGCCTCTTGGCTAAGCAGCAAAAGGTTTCAGACCAAAAAAGAAAAGAAGTCCAGTTACCACAACTCAGCTTCCAAATGGTTGTAGGTCACTTTTTAAACTTCCGATGTAGTTTCAAATTGTCGCTAAACGAATGGTTGCAAGTCAAGGACCAGCTGTGACGGTGGGGGGGGGGGGGCGGCTGCAGAGAAGAATTCCATCTCCTGGAGAGGAGGAGGAGGAGGGTTGCTGAATCTCTCCATTTGAAGCCAACCCCTTCAGTTAGTGAAAAAAGGATGATTTCAATGGGAGGATAAGGGAAAACACCTCGGATTTCAAAGCTGGTCTTAGCACTGCAATGTTTTTTGTTTTGTTTTTAAGGTTCAACAAGGAAGAATCGGCAATGCTGAGAAGGAACCTGAGAACAACATCATCAAGATGGATTTTAAAACTGATTTTGTTGCCCTCGTTGGTGGAAGGATAAAAGCCGGACCTCCTCCAAACAGGTACTGAAGGGAGATATCTCAGGTGACTGTTTTTGAGAGCTTTTTGCTTTCTCAAGGGTTTGAAGCCTTTGTCTCAAGCTTCCTTATTTGCAAGATTTTCAGCAGCTTAAAGTACCCCATGAATTGTCTCAGCACCATGAACTTCTCCAGATGAAGGGATCTTAAGCTTCCAGGCAAAGGAGAATTCAGGGAAGGCCAGACCCATCTCATCCAGGGAAGACTGATCTAGATGGACACCCAGAGCAAATATGGTTCATTCCCAGGAACCCTGCAGATAGGTCAGACTCTAAAGCAATCTTAGTTCGTCAATCTTAGAAAGTTTAGGATGCATGGGCTGCAACTCCCAGAATGCCCCAGCCAGCCTTGCCGCAGGTCAGTTTTTGATGGTTTTTTTAAATAGTAAATTCTGCTTTATGGAGCTTTATCTATTTGGGAAGCAAATGCCCACAACATTGCACAAAAGAAATTTGAGTGTTAATGTATTGGAACTTAAGTTATCATCAAATTATGATGATCTACTGGTGGATTGTGTGCAGCATGCAGTTGTCACAACATGGGAGTTGAGTGTGTTTATGGCATCCATTACTCCAGGGATGAGCTGTGTTTCAGGAAGAACAATGGAATCAAGATCAGCTGCTGATGCTGAATGGGTCTTCTTTTGGAAACAGGAAACTGGGCGGGACAATCGACGTGATTGGCGGACAGGCTGGCACCATCCGGAGGGTGGAAGGAAGGCGGCGTGATAAACATGCCTCCGAAGAAAATCCCATTCAGGTAAGAACTGAAAAGGGGACCTCAGGCCTTGCACGCTCTTAGCTTTCAATCCAGATTAGACGTTCCTGATTGGGATAAGACCACACTTGGGGCAGTGTAGCCATTTCTAGTCACCACAATATACAGTAAAAAAGATGTTGAGACCCTAGAAAGTGTGAAGAAAAGAGCAACAAAGATGATAAGGCATCTGGAGGCTAAATTATATGATGAATGCTTGAGGAAGCTGCTGTAAATTCTGTATTTTTTCGGAGTATAAGGCACTCCGAAGTATTAGAGGCACCTAACTTTTGGGGAGGAAAACAAGGGGGGGAAATCTGCTTCTGCCTCCCAGCAATTTGCCTCTCAGCATTGGCCTAAAGCATGGGATCATCAGCTGTTTCAGGCTGCAAGGATTGCTATAGCCTATTGCAGCTTCCACAAGCCCCATTTTCCCCATTTGCTGCAAGGAGGTAAATTGCTGGGAGGCAGAGGCCAAAGGGTGGGGGACAGTGGGTGGGTGGGGCTACATTCAATGTATAATACGCACCCAAATTTTCACCCTCTTAGGGGGGGAAAAGGTGTGTCTCATACTCCAAAAAATACGGTTTGTCTAGTCCAACAAAGAAGAGGATCAAAATGCCTTTTGATTCATGGGGTATATTCATATCTATGCAGATAGTTACTTTAGTGTGGCAAGATTCTGCCGTAGGCAAGTAAGGTCTAACAAAGAGAAGGACCAGGGGTGATCTGATAGCAGCTCCCAATATATGAGAGGCTGCCACAGAGAGGAGGACATCAACCAATTCTCCAAAGCATCTGAAGCAGGATAAGAAGTAACGGGTGGAAGATTGTGAAAGAAAGATTCAACCTAGAACTAAGGAGAAATTTCCTGACACGGAGAACCATTGGAATGGCTTGCCTCAAAAAATTGTGGGTGTTTCATCACTGAAGGTTTTTAAGAAAAAATTGGACAGCCATTTGCCTGAAAAGGTGTAAGGTCTCCTGCTTGAGCAGGGGGTTAGACTAGAAGTCCTCCAAGGTCCCTTCCAACTCTTGTTATTCTGTTACTCTATATCTTTGTATGCAAGGCTGGATTATCCTCCTCTTTATTCCATTTTAAAATGTTTCTCTTCTTTCAAACTACAGTGTGTCAAACATCAGCTGAAGATCTGTCTCAATATAGTTCATCCCAAAATCATAATTTCTGTAAATCTACCGGCATCTTTCATTTTGGTTTCCTCAAACTATAAATGATCTAACCATTGCTATAACTTGTTCTTTCTTTTAAATGCTGTTTTCAAATTGAGAGGGGATTGCTTCCTTCCCTCTCTCCACATTCTAGTTTTATAAATCTCCTGTAAATAAAATCTCATTACAGCACTATTTTTCCAGGAACCATGCTTGAAAAAGTATGTGAGTAATCTATAATTTCTAGTATTTCTTTCCTGAATCGATTGGACATATGTGATATCAATTAGGTGATGATGCAGAACTTCACCAACACATATCCCAAAAGAAAAATACCCCGTCTGAATAGTTTCATGTCTTTAAAGCAAGGGCACTGGGTCCGAACTGCACCAACTTGGATATTATTAATGAAACCTGGTGCGATTGAAGGTAAATTCATACATCCCAGGATAATGTTGCAGAATCCAATCTTAGTTCAGTTATTAAGACCAATGTTTATTCTTCCAAACTTTGGGGTTTATGATTGTTAAATGATTTAATAGTCAGCCATCAACTCCCTAATTAACAACTAAAAGATACCCCAACCAGGAACCACATAAATAGAACATAGAACAACAGAGTGGGAAGAGACTTTGGAGGTCTTGTAGTCCAACTCCCTTCACAAACAGGAAGCCCTAGACCATTCCAGATAAATGGCTGTCCAGTCTCTTCTTAAAAACTTCCATTGTCGGAGCACCCACAACTTCTGGAGAGAAGTTGTTCCACTGGTTGATTGTTCTTACTGTCAGGAAGTTTCTCCTTAGTTCTAGGTCGCTTCTCTCCTTGATTAGTTTCCATCCATCACTTCTTTCCTGCCCTCTGGTGCTCTGGAGAATAGTTTGATCCCCTCCTGAGACCTTTAGTGCTGTGCAAGATCTCATCCTTATTTCAGTCCTGGAATATTTCTGCCTCTTGAGATGTTCTGGTAAAAAGAGGCAAATATTTGTAGCTCGGGGTTGAAATGAAGGATCCTGGCTGCTCTCTGAGCTTGACCCAAACTAAGTAATATTATCAGTGAAGAGACAGTCTTCATCTGGGGGTAGTCCTTGTGTCAGGATTCCAAATAGCATCCAAAAGTAAATCAGAGTCAAAGGCAAACGATTCCTCAAAGTTCCAATTTATTAAGAGAGCCATATTGGCACATCTGGAAAAACCCGAATCTGAAAATTTCAAGATCTTGCCCCCACACCTACAAGTCCATCACATGGTCCAATCTTCCACTGCCACGCTGGCAGCTTCCACCCATCCAGTTCCAGCCAGGTGTAGAGACAAAGGATGACCTTGACTTCCTAGAAAGAATTTTGTTATGGCTACATATCACCCAACTCCGTACAATCCCCCCCTCCCATTTTCCCACAATAGAAAATGCATAGTAGAATATTATAAAGTGTGGCAGGCCTGAAGTCCAAAAAGGAAAAGAAGGCTTGCAGGCCTGACACCTCAACTTATAACAGTTTGTTTAGTGATAGTTTGAAGTTACAACAGCATTGAAAAAAATACTTATGACCATTTTTCACACCTATGACCCTTACATCATCCCCATGGTCATGTGATCAAAATTCAGATGCTTGGCAATTGACTCATACTTACAGCGGTTGCAGTGTCCCGTGGTCATATGACCCCCTTTTGTGACCTTCTGACAAGCAAAGTCAATGGACAAGACAGATTCATTTAACAACCATGTTACTAACTTATCAACTGCAGTGATTCACTTAACAATTGTGGCAAAGAAGGTTGTAAAATGGGGCAAAACTCACTTAACAAATGTTTTGCTTAGCAACAGAAATTTTGGGCTGAATTGCGGTCATAGGTCAAGGACTACCTGGCTTCAAAAACTTTCACTCTGCAGCAATGAAATCTGAACTCTGAAATAAATTAGGCAAACAAATGAATGGATAAGTATCTACACAGGAGCTCTGAAACTTTGGAAGCCTAGTTCAGGGCCCACCGGCATTAGGCCTTCCAAGTCTCTTTCAGGGTTGATTTGGTTTGGTTGGGGTTTTTTTTAAGTCAAGCTGAATTCAACACGCAGGACCTCCTCCTCTCATCCTTCTGCATTCCCATGATGTTGCAGCCTGATGCATTTCCTGCTTGGGGACTTGCTTTGACTAGGTTTCTTTTTTTCTGAAGTCCTAACCTGCTTATTCCTCTGTGCTCTCTACTGAAAGGTGCTTGGAGACCATGGGAGCAAAACTCAGCCTGCTCAGCCCCCTCAGCAACAGCCATTTGTGCCCCCGGCAGGCCCACCTCCGGCACTAAGTGGGCCTCCGCCCCACTTTCTCCATCCTCCTCCGCCACAAGTTGCCTCTGTCCCACCGCCTCTCCATCCTCCAGGTAGGTGTCCTGCTAGTGCAGATACTAAAACTGGAACTAGGACACAAAACGATCTTGGTCTTGAAGTCTGATTAGTTGAGCCAGAAGTCTGTTCTAGCAGACATTGGCAGGAGAATGGCCTTGGGGTTAACACTGGAGATACTCTTGCTTTTAAATTGCATGAGGAGGAGAAGGATTTGCTCCTTAGCTGAACTCCGTTTCTGCAGAGAAGATTGGAAAGAGGCCAGTCCAGAACAGGCAACAGGCAGCCTTGCCAATGGATTGCTTAGATTGGGATTAAAAGAGAAATTCTCCTTCAACTCAACTCCTGGGTCTCCATGGACTGTCATCCACCAAGAAGTGGTTTGATGTGGTCTCCTCCCATTTCTTATTGCTTCTATTTCCCTGGTTAGCTCACATCCCTAATATTACCTTGTGCTCCCCCACCTAAGGACTAAAGTTAGGTGAGATTATCTAAAGAAATAAGGAACGTTCCTCTTAACATTGTAAGGCACATCCACATGTAAGCATCAGAATGACTTCATCAGAATGTCCCCATTTTGATTTAGATTCACACATGTATATCTTTGTGATCTTTATCCTAGTTAATTTTAAACTGGATTTAAATGTGGCATGCAGTTCTTCTGTACCCAGGTAGGATAACCACCATTAGTTTCTTGGAAGTAAAGACTCTTCCCTAGAAAAGCACAGGAGAGCAATTTGCCCCAGTCTGAGCTACTTGGGATGCTGGATCAGCCATGCTGGGAGTTTTTGGATTGGAGCCCATGAGAGAAGGACCTTTTGCCCTTGTTTCCTCATTTGGGACAGCCAAGCCTTCTAGAATCTATACAGGGAGTCCTTGACTTCAACAGTTCATTTAGTGACTGTTTGAAGTTACAATGGCATTGAAAAAGTGATCGTTTTTCAGACGTACGACTGTTGTAGCGTCCCCATGGTCATGTGATCAAAATTCAGATGCTTGTAAACTGACTTGTATTTATGACGGTTGCAATATCCCGGACGTCATATGATCACCTTTTGCAACCTTCTCACAAGCAAAGGCAATGGAAAAGTCAAATTCCCTTAACAACCACGTTACTGACTTAACAACTGCAGTGATTCACTTGACAACTGTGGCAAGAAAGGTCATAAAATAGAGCAAAACTCATTTAACAAATATCTCAGCAACAGAAATTTTGGGGTCAATTTATGGCCATAAGTCAAGGATTCTCTGCTAATTCTTCTCTGAAGCCACCAGAATGAAGTTGTTCTTCAGATGTTCCCGACCTGCCTTGATTAGATCTTTCTGATTTATTCTGCACGGGTCAATCAAGGGCTGCGTGTGGCATCCCCCCAAGGAAGGCACCAACCCCTGGCAACCAGATTCCTGTGTCCTGCTTAGCCCAGGTTTATCCCCTGTATGGTTCCCAGTTGAGAGAACTGGAGGAAGGTGCAATGTGGGGACTTGGGGCATCTGTGTGAAGTGATTCAGTTGCTGGAAGAAGATAGAAGGGAAAAGGTGGTCCCTAAAGAGAAAGGGCGTGTCACACAGCGGCCATCCTGTCTTCTAATGACTGTCACTCATGTCTTCTTATTGACAGGGCTGTTTCCTCCTCCTCCTCTGGCTCCTCCACCCGCTCTCTTGATTCCAACCCTGGATGGGTAAGTGAGAAGGAGATGGGCCCTCTGGCTGCAGGTCCAGGCCATTTGCTCAGCTTTTGAATCTGGATAGAGGTAGTCCTCGACTTACAACAGTTCATTTAGTGACCCTTCAAAGTTACAGTGGCACTGAAAAAAGTGACCCGTGACCATTTTTCACACTTACGATGGTTGCAGCCTCCCCAGGGTTCATGTGATCAAAATTCAGACGCTTGGCAACTGCCTCCTATTTATGACGGTCGCTGTGTCCTGGGGCCACGTGATCCCCTTTTGTGACAACCAAAGTCAATGGGGAAGCCAGAATCGCTTAACAACTTATCAACTGCAGTGATTCACTTAACAACTGTGGCAAGAAATGTTGTAAAATGGGGCAAAACTCATTTAAATTTCTCGCTTAAGAAAATAAATTTTGGGCTCAATTGTTGTAAGTCGAGGATTGCCTGTATTACTAAAACTCTTGCATCTGTAATCTTTAACTGAGTGAACCTGCACAGTAGGACAAAACTGTTTCCACTAAGGTTCTTCGGATGGGCTACCTGGCAGAAGGCCCCAACATCCAGGACTCCTGAGGAATTGAAATTTGGCATTTTTAAAAAAACACTTTATGACACAAAAATGATTATAAAGCAGTTTCTGGCATAATACAAAATGCTATAAAACATTTCCTCTGTTCTACTACCCATATTTGACTGTGCTGTATAGTCTGACCTCAGCTACTTTCAAGGCAGAGGCATCTACAAACATCTCCCTGAATTTTTAAGAACTTTTCCAGATCTTTTAGGAGCTCTCCATGATTGAAAGCATGGATGAATCTGGTCAGAAAATCTCTCTGAAACCATGACCCAGCAGGCCACGAGTTGTCTAGTTCACTCTTACCATCAGTGTGCGAAATCAGGCATTTTATAGAAGCCTTAGGAAATCTATAGGGTGCCAAAAATGGAGCATCAAAGTTAATATTACTAATTTTTCACACATTTCCTTGGTATTTCAGTGTATAGCATATTAAAATAACACAGACATTTCATACTTCGCCTGAAAGCATCATGCTGTCTGGGGAATTCTGGGAGTTGAAGTCCACATGTCTTAAAAGTTGCCAAGGTTGAGAAATACTGATGTGGTTGTATATATTGCACAATCATTGAATTGATTCTTGGCATCCATCCCTGATAAGCAGTGAATGCAAGAGCTTCCGGAAATGAAGAGCCATGCCATTCGGAATCAATGGAATAAATGACTGGCAAAATGGCTTTATAGGGAAATCCCAGGAGCCAAACATCCCTGGGTTAATCTGTCCACTGGAACCAGCATGTGGGTGAGAAGAACCGAGAAGTTCAAATAAAGATAGTCCCTAACTTACAATCACAACTGAGCTTAGGGAGCTTCATAAGGAAATTCCAGGCATTTGTGAGGAAACGTCTGGTTTTCTATAGAGTCTCCCAAGTGAGACGGCCCTTTTGCCTTCAGAGAAATGGCTGAAGAGCAATCACGGGAGCGTAGGCAAGGGCCATTGGGCTCTGCTTGAAAGATTCACACAGGCAACTTGGTTGTGAAGACCAGGATTTCTCCTCTGGCTTTATCTGCCCAGGTTTCTCTTTGTTCTTCAGTGCACGTAGTCCTCGACTTACAATACAGTAAGTCCTCGACTTACAATTCATTTAGTGATCAACTGCACTGAAGAAAAGTGACTTATGACCAGTTTTTACATCTATAACTGTTGCAGCATCCCCATAATTACATGTTCAAAATTCGGGTGCTTGTCAAGTGGCGTGTATTTATGGCAGTTGGATTGTCCTGGGATCACAAGATCCTCTTTTGCAACTTTTTGACAAGCAAAGTCAAGAGGGAAGCCATATCTATGTAACAACCAAGCTATTAACTTAACAATTGCAGTGATTCACTTAACAACTGTGGGAAGAAAGGTCATAAAATGGAGCACAATTCACTTAACAACTGACTTGCTTAGCAATTGAGGCCTATCTTTATTTGAATTGCTCAGTCCTTCTCACCAACATGCTGGTCCCAGTGGATAGATTAACCAAGAGATGTTTGGTTAGGCAGTGGATAAAGAATACAGGGAACTATCATAGCAATAGCACTTATATACCGCTTCATAGAGTTTTATAGCCCTCTCTAAGCAGTTTACAGAGTCAGTCTCTTGCCCCCAACCACCTGGGTCCCCATCAGAAGGATGGAAGGCTGAGTCCACCTTGATCCAGTAAGAATCGAACTGCAGAACTGCTGGCAGCAGTCAGTCAGCAGAAGTATCCTGCAGTACTACATTCTAACCACTATGCCACCGCGGCTACTATAAGAAAGGAGTGTGTTGTTTACAGAGCTAATCCAGTTAGGAAGTGGAATTATCCTTTCCCTTCCTGATTTTACTTTTCAGCCTGAATTAATGATGGGAATTAGATGTTGCTAACCCTTCCTGTGTGTTGTCTCCCTCTCTCCCCAAAGCCAGCCTGCCAGCTACAGCAACCGGCAGCCACCTCCCTTCGGCTACAACTCCACAGGTGAGCCCCTCCGAGCCCTTGCAGCCGATAGGCGGAGTGGATTGTTGTTTTGCACAACCCACAATGGGTCACAAGGATGGGCCAGTTCAGCTCTTGGGGGTCAGCTCTGGACTCTTCTGTGATTGTCCTGCCTTGGCCGATGTTGGCAGCCCTCTCCTCCAAAGTAGAACATCCTGCAAGGCTGCTGAATGGGGGCCTTTTGGTCCTCTTTCTTTCTTCCCTCAGGGCTTCTCTTCAACACCATTGTTAAACTGGAGTTTTGTAATGATATTTTCTATGCGTGCAATTATCTCTTCCTCTCACACGTCAATGAATTCATTTGCAAGGATTTTCGCCTTTCCACATATGCCTTATTCTTGTGACCTGAAAAAGACCCCAAATCCCATCCCAAATTGTGTTCCAATGGATCACCATTTAGTTTTCCCGACCCCCCTGTGTTATTGTAGGCACCTGTTTTCACTAACCGTCGGGAATGCGTGGAACTACACACACTCTTCATTCAAGCTAAAACCATTGTTTCTTTTCCAGCAGAAAAAGAGAAACGTCTGTGCAAAACAATTGCAAGTTATACATAGTTCTGTGCATTTCTATATGATTACTTTTCTGAATTGAGGAGTCACCTGTATGGGAAAAGTTACCACAAGGATTCCAGACTATGTCAAATAATATAGGACACTTCAATGATACTGATGTATACATAGAGATAACCGTATCACCTCCTGTAAGTCTAAATTTTCAAAGAGGTACCTTGACATCATGCTGAGAGCTTCCTGGCCTTCATCTTGAAGGACTTACTGGGGATCAGTGATATGGTGACTACCTTGACATTAGGAAGTATTTATTACAGTGTTCAGTGAGTGCCATATAGTTTAGCTGAATTCTTGTCAAGGACAGAACGACAAAAGCTCCAGGAAAGAAAGTTCTTAACATTTGCCATAGCGGGAACTATCATTAAGCAGGATTTGTGGCAAAAGGAGACACTGAGACATATTTTACCCTCAAGTGACACTTGGAACTGACAAACTATCTCTTTGGAAGCCAGGGGGAAGTGAGTAAATGCTTTAACTACCACTGCAATGGTAACAATGTTCTGCAGGACAAGAGGACTTTTGACATCAAGATAATGGAACTTCTATAGGGGTGTAATAGTTCTCCCTCTTTGGCCTAAGGAAGACATTACTCATGATAGTTGCAACAGTCTGGGACAGGTTGGAGCTACTTATCCTAGCAGCTTTCCAAATATTTGAATGCTTGGGTTGTAAACATCCCCTTCATTTAAAACTAGTGTCAGGCCTGTGGGAAGATAGAAGTAGAAGATGCACATTTTTCCATGCCTCTTTTGTTCTGCCCAGTTCTGAAGGAATTTGATTAATGGACGGCCTATTTGCTTGAAAACAACATCCAAACCTCCTTTTAACTGCAACTGACCCCACTCAATCACTGTGCCTGGTCCTCAGCACCATAATTTAAGAAGGATTTGGTTGAAATGGAACAGCTGCAGAGAAGGACTTGAAGACATCAAGGGATTGAAGGACCTGGTCATGTTAATAGGAAACTTGCTTGAGTAGATGCTTGAATTTAAATTTCTGCCTGACTAGGAAAGCCCTTTCTGCTTTCAACTCCCAATTTGCTTAATGAGGGAGGACACACAAGCAAGAGGGATAAGAAAGCTTCTTTATTTGTTTCAGTGATTAAGGTTTAAAGGGAACTCAGTCTTTATGCTTCTAGTGAAGGGATCTCCAACCTTGACAACTTTAAGACTTGTGGACTATTCCTCAGCCATGCTAGTGTCTGAAGTGGGCAAAAAGATTCTTCCCTCTTGATGCTTTACAGAAGGTATTTCAAAATAACAGAGTTGGAAGGGACCTTGGAGGTCTTCTAGTCCAACCCCCTTCTTCAGTGGTGGTGGGTGTTCCCCTTCTGTTACACTTGGTGTGAACCAGGAGTGAGATTAGTCTCAGAGCATTCTGGGCTTAAGAGATCAAGTTGATCGAAAGAGGTTTATTGATTATCCCGTACTTGACAATCCCAGGCAGCTCACAACATTCCATAAAATCAGAATAAATATAGCAATAGCACTTAAGACTTATATACCACTTAATGGTGCTTTACAGCCCTCTCTAAGTGGTTTACAGGGTCAGCCTGTTGCCCCCAACAATCTGGATCCTCATTTTACCGATCTTGGAAGGGTGGAAAGCTGAGTCAACCTTGAGCCTGGTGAGACTCGAACTGCCAAATGGCAGTCAGCCGGCAGTCAACATAAGTAGCCTGGAGGAATGCACTCTGACCACTGCGCCACTGTGGCTCATATATAACCCACAAAATCCCCCAATACCATTCTGTATCCTATCACAGCACTCCAGCCTCCCACCAATTCTATACGTTTAATTTTCCGGATTCATTTCCATCCTAGCCCGATGCCTGTGCAAAGAGCCAGGTTTTCACACCCCTCCTAAAGGGCAAGAAGAGTTTGTCACCCTAAGAGCTCAGCCATAGTTGCCTGTCTTTATAATGAACATCTATAAGCAAACCACGTGAAGAGGTTGAGAACTAGGTCTCATCCACACAGCACCAAAGTCCCTCTTCACACCCTGAAGCTTATTTTCATTAGCCTTTGATTCAAATCCCCAGAGGCTGCACCATCAGGTGTGTTGAGTAGGACTATAGGTAGCCCTCGACTTACAACCATTCATTCAGGGACCGTTCAGTTACAGTGGCACTGAAAAAAGCAAACTATGAGCATTTTTCACACAACTTTCATCATCCCCAGAGTCATGTGATCAAAATTTGGCTGCTTGGCAACTGGGTCTTATTTGCAGCGTCCAGGAGCACACCTTCTGGATCTCTTTGCAACCTTCTGACAAGCCAAGTCAATGGGGAAACCAGATTCACTTAATACTAACTTGGCAACTGCAATGGTTCATTTAACAACTGTGGCAAGAAAGGTTGCGAAATGAAGCAAAACTCACTTAACAACTGTCTTGCTTTGCAGCAGAAATCTGGGGCTCAGTTGTCATATATAGTGAATCCTAGGAGCAAGGATATGGTGATCACTTCAACAGTCTGGATGGCTGCCTCCCAACCTGACCGAGTGGATCGGGTGCTTTAAATGAAGCAGTGAGCCCCATGAAACCACACTTGGTTATTTTTAACCTTTTTTTCTTGAGAAAACAGAATCTGGAATCTATCCTGTTTTCCAACTGGGAAATCCCATCTGATCTTCCTTCACTTTAGACAGTGACATGCGGTGAGGTTTATGGCTGGTGATGCAGCAATTTTTTTAGACTTGTGGACTTCAACTCCCAGAATTCCCCAGCCAGTCAATCCTACTTCCACAAG